AACAATCAAACTGTCAACATCATCATTGGACATGGTCAAACAAATGCACCGTGACTTTTCTTCCCTGTTCGGACTGCATAAAGCATAATACTTTACATGATACTCTCAGGTCTTTTCTTTTTTCCTTCCCATTCTCACTTAAAATTTTAGTGTAGTGGTGAAGCGAGAAACACACAACAGCACAATGCGTCGATAACTTTCTTCTGATCGGAATGGCCTACAACTTGCCACATTCCGTATCGAAAATAAACAAGTCCTCCTTTATTGGTTCATCCACATGCATCACGCTAATCTCAAAGGCTTTTAAGATTCCTATGCTTTGATTTGTTATAAGACTTTCTCCTTAAAACGTCCTTTGTTTTTAGTCCTAACAATAAGTGACAACAAAACATCAAGTATGACAGAGGAAATTCGTTACCGAGATGCTTAGCATCGCTGGTTTAAAGTCGCCTGTTTCAAACGCTTTGGTGATTCGCAAGAGTTATCTCCCTGTTAACGCAAACCTTACCTTAACTTTCCTGCAATTGTAAATATATTTTGTTTGTGTATGTATCATGTTTAATTTTGAATTTAAAACTGGTCTCAGTAAGACCCCCAATAAAGATGCAAGTGTCCCATAATATGTGGTTTAATAATATCTTGAATATCTTTATCATACCATATTCATCATACTCATTACATATAGAATGGTTGTAGGAATACACTTTGTTGTTAAGGACACTTTGTCAAGGTCAAAGCATAAGATTATTGAGATAACTTCTTTGACAATAATTTGTAACTTACAAACTTCACATCATAAGTACACAGATGAAGAGTCAATAAGATATTTCTATAGATTTGTTGGATCATTTACTCATGAGTGAAAGTTAGTTACTGAGATTACTGATTTGAGTCCTGTAATGCAATAACTTAAACATTGTGTAATAACTTATAGACTTTATAAAAATTAGGTGCAAATTCTTAGGAAAGGAATGAAATGTTAATCAAATGTACAATGATTAAGGATGTTTATATGACTATTACTATGTAATACCTTGGGTTTCTGTAAAAATCCTATATTCACTACATAGATAAAGACCTGTATAATATATATTTTAAACTATGATGAAGGAAAAAAAGGTCAAAAGCTCATCCCTTCATCTCTTTCATATTCTGTCATACACAGCAATAGATAAATTGCAGTCATATAACAAATTGATGTCTTATCAAATCCTAGAATTGATATTGTGATTTTCTGATAGTATGAGATCTTCAAAAAAATAATTCCCAGACTTCAAAGTATCTAAATGTGACTTTTATTTTTACCAATTCATATTGAAAACAGCTGTTATGCATGGGAAGTATACATTTAAACCTTTTATTTTTGTCCCCCGCTTTCGCGAAAGCGAGGGGACATTAAATCTCATTCGTCTGTCCGTCAGTCTGTCCGTCTGTCAGTCTGTCAGTCTGTCCGTCACAAAAACTTTAACCTTGCCCATAACTTTTGATTGGGAGAAGCTATGACTTTTTATATTTCACATGTTTATTCCTTGTGACAAGACCTTTCTTTGGGTACCACCAAATTTGACTTTTCGACCTTGACCTTGGATTTTGACCCACTTTAACACTAAAATTCTGAACTTTTACTTTAGCTATAACTTTTGAACGATAAGACCTAGGGCTTTTATATTTCAGGTATGTATTGTTTGTGGCAAGGCCTTTTATTGGGTACAAACAAGTTTGACCTTTTGACCTTGACCTTAGAGAATTCCGTACTTATAAAAAACTTTAACCTTGGCCATAATCTTTGAACGGTTAAGGTTAGGGCTTTCATACTTCTCATATGGAATTCTTTTAAAAAGACCTTTCATTAGATACCAAGAACTCTGACCCTTTGACCTTGACCTTGGAGTTTGACATACTTCTAAAAACAAACCTTGACCATAACTTTTGAAGGGTTAGAGCTAGGGCTGTCATACTTCACATATGTAATTCTTTTGACAGGACCTTTCATTTGATATCAAGAACATTGACCCTTTGACCTTGACTTTGGAGTTTGACCTACTTTTTAAAAACTATGACCTTGGCCATAACTTTTGAACGGTAGATTATAGGACTTTTGTTTTTTACACATGTATTCTTTTTGGCAAGAACTTTCATGTGATACAAACAGATTTAAACTTTTGACCTTGACCTTGGTAATTTCCATACTTATGAAAAAATTAACCTTGGCCATAACTTCTGAATAAGAAGAGATAGGGCTATCATGTTTCACTTGTATATAACCCGTGACAAGACCTTTCTTAAATACACTATGATTTTTGATACCGTGACCTTGACCTTAAAGTTTGATCTACTTTTCAAAAACTTCAATCTTGGCCATATCTTTTGAATGAGAAGGGATACTTAGAACATGTTGAAAAGTAATAGAACACGACCGCGACAATGAAATAACCTGACATCCCTATTAAAATAAATCGTTCTAAGGGTATATAACACCGAGTATCTAACAGCGAAGTCATATTCGCTGCAATGGTCAGACAAAGGAGGTAAGGTAAAACCTGATATTTTAATTTTTGCACAATTATTATTTTTCATCTCGTGACCTTGACCATGAATTTTTATCATCTTCTAAACACTTTAATCTTGGTCATATCTTTTGAATGAGAAGAGATACTTAGAACATGTTGAAAAGTAATAGAACACGACCGCGACAATGGAATAACCTGACACCCCTACTGAAATGAATCGTTCTAAGGGTATATAACACCAAGTACCTAACAACGGAGTCATATTCGCTGCAATGTTCATATAAAGGAAAAAAGGTAAAACCTGATATTTTAATTTTTGCACAATTAGTGCATGTTGTACGTAATAGAACATACCCATGAAAATGAAATTACCTGACATCCTTCGGGAAATAATTCTAAGAGTATATAATCCAGAGCCAGTAGCTAACGCAGAATCGCCGCAATGTTCTTACAAAAAAGACACGTAAAACCTCTAATATTTTAAATTAATTCTTATTCTTCAAAATGAATATTCCCTGGAAATTTGTTGCAATGTTATTATTTTATTCTAGGAAAAATAGATATCCCTGTTACAATGTAATTATGTTTTCATAATCATTTTTGTCTTTTTATTATTATGCTAGGAAAATTAGATCATATCCCTGTTACAATGTAATTATGTTTTCATCTTTTTTGTCTTTTCATTTATTAATAGTTACAAGTTTTGGTTACTTTTTAAAACGTGTACTTTATTGCATAATTAAAAACATCAGTATATTGTTTTCATCAGAGACATAAAAACATTATTTATGTTTCTGTTAGCATTATGATATTGGAACTGAAATAAAAAGAATTGACCAGAATAAATGGTGGTATTGTAGTCTTTATTGTACATTCTTAATACTTAGTATGTGTTTCTGTGTCTTCATATTTTTATTCACACTATGTTTTACAGGCAAATTAGTATGATATTGATGATCATGCATTTTACATAAAGATTATGTCAGCTATTGTACTAGCTAGGTACATAATATTTATGACCATGAATCTCACCTCCAGATTACGTTGGCTATTGCACTAGGTAGGTACATTATTGTCCCGATATTTTTGATTAATTAACTAGTATTCATATATTCTAACTGTTTTTGTTTGTTCAATATTCACCATTTATTCCATTATGGTCCCATGTCCAGACATTTTCCGATTTTTTTCAATTACTTTTTTGTGACTGTCCTAATTTTTTTCAAATTAAGATTTGATTCTAAATTCTGTCGAAATTATTACTGTTTTAATTTCATGTAAGGCAGATTGCCATTTTTATCATATTTTATATTTTACAGTTAATGTGTTACATATCATTCACTCATCATCAGCTTCTAGTATAAGTTGTTTAAGATGAAAATATTTTTTAGAATCAACTGTTGTTATCAATTAAGTAAAATTCTTTCATTTGTTATATTCTAGGATGTTATCGCAATATTATCTCTTAGGAAATAAAGGTGCACATGCCTATAATGGAAACCAGTTTCAGTGTAAACTCTGTAAACGAACCTACAAATCATTGAAAACTCTTAGAAACCATAAGTGTTCTTACTGTCTAACATGCAAGAAGATTTTCAGCACATACCAGAAGTTTCAGATCCACAAAGTAAGATTTTCCTCAATATGAAATAATACAATTCATAAATTTACTTATCATATATTCCATGCATATCTGGGTTGGTTGCCTGTATCAATTTTATAACCATTACAATGACTTAGGTCCAATATACTGTTCTTTCAGACATCAACGTGTAGATATAATGAGTCACACACTTATGAAACAAAGCTGGAAAACTCTCCAATTTCCGTTCCTGAGGTTAGTAACTTACAGATCATGTTCAATTAACACACATTCAATAAACATAAATTTGCTTGCTATATGACAAAGTATATATATATATCTTCTGTTTAAAGCAGGACAGAATTGATAGCAGAGTATCAAAGGCAAAGGACATAGAAGTTAGATGTACAGTTAAGGACGTAGCGTCACTTGTTGGCGAAGGGACAACAGACATAACTGATGATATTGTCTGCAGTGCATTGGAGCTCATGAGAGAGAACTACACACAATGTGGAGTCGAGTTTATTGGTTACTATACACCGGCAGAAATGAAACTGATCCTCACTACAAAAGATAAAACTCTACAAAAACCAATTGTTCCAAATGATCAACTGTGCATTAACATTCACCACATTGCAGGCCACTGGTTGACATCATACCAACAACCTAACCAGGAAATAAATGTGTTTGATTCGTTGATGTCACAAAAAACATTTTGTCGATGTTCTTCCACAATTGCAAATAATATATGGAGAGGACTGTGTCACAAGAGTACAATATCCAGCTGTAACGCAGCAGTCAACACAACCTATATGTGGGGTAATGGCAATTGCCTTTGCCTTTTCCTGCTTGCTAGGTATAGATTGCACGCAGATAAACTTTGATATCTCTGTTGCTGCAAGTCATTTGAAAAAGTGCTTTTCCATGAAGAAAGTAAGTTTATTTCCTGTTCTTTCCACAGACCTGCTCATGTCTTCAGTCGATTCATATATGGCGGATCAGGTCTGTCAAAAAGAACAAAGCCATATTTGTCAAAAGCAACATAGGGAAATGTCATTATCATCGGATGAGGAAATAAGACTCCAAAGAGAAAAGGACAAAAAACGACAACAAAAGAAACGTAAAAACTTAAATGATGCGGAAAAGCTACAACAGCAGATGCTGAATAAAAAGCAACACCAAAAGAGACGAAAGAGATTAGATGAAACACAGAAACAACTTAATAGGGAGAAAGACAAAAGACAACATCAAATGACAAGAAATTCATTAGACGAATCACAGAAACAACAACAGAGGGAAAAGAACAAAAGACAACAACTGAAGAGAAGAAGTACATTAGATGAATCACAGAAGGAAGTCAAAAGGGAGAAAGATAAAAAACAACATCAAGTGGCACGAAATTCATTAGACGAATCACAGAAACAACAACAGAGGGAAAAGAACAAAAGACAACAAATGAAGAGAAGAAGTACATTAGATGAATCACAGAAGCAAGTAAAAAGGGAGAAAGATAAAAAACAACATAAAATGGCAAGAAATTCACTAGACGAATCACAGAAACAACAACAGAGGGAAAAGAACAAAAGACAACATAATCAGAGAAGAAGTACATTAGATGAATTACAGAAGGAAGTCAAAAGGGATAAAGATAAAAAACAACATCAATTAGCAAGAAATTCATCAGACGAATCAAAGAAACAACAACAGAGGGAAAAGAACAAAAGACAACAACTTCAGAGAAGAAGTACATTCGATGAATCACAGAAACAACAACAGAGAGATAAAAATAAAAGACAACATAATCAGAGAAGAAATACATTAGATGAATCATAGAAACAAAAACAACGGGAGAACGACAGAAAACAACACCGAGAAAAGCGTTCAGACCTGACAATTCAAACAACTATTGAAAATTTCCTTTCAGTAATAACTAAAGGTCCAGATTGTTGTTGTGTTTCTTGCAAGCGCCTTCTATATAGAACGGCTGTTGTGTGTTATAAGCAATCCTCCTATCCCAAGGTTTCCAAATTTTCACTCTCCCAATGGTGTCCTATTAATGAGGAAGCAGACAATAATAAATTATGGATTTGCCAAACTTGCCACTTCCATTTAAAAAAAGGCAATATGCCATCCCAGTGCATAGCAAATGGACTCCAGCTAGACTGCATACCTCCGGTACTGAAGGAGCTTTGTCCTCTGGAAATTCAACTAATATCTAAGACGCTACCTTTCATGAAAATTGTAGCACAGCAGAGAGGAGCTCAACACAAACTCAGTGGACAAGTTGTTTTAGTGCCTTCTGACCTTTCCAAAGTTGTTAACTCATTACCAAGAACATCTGCAGAATCTCAAATTATAACACTAGCTCTGAAGAGACGTCTCTCAGACAAGCATGCTGTGCATAAACAATGCATCAGGCCACAACATATAATTCGAGCCCTTCAGTACTTAAAAGCTAATTCTCCTTACTATAAAGATATTGATATCAATGAATATTGGACTTGTGACCTTCCATTTACTCAAGAAAATGCAAATCTTGCACAGGATGACACAATAGTCGACAGTGAAGACGAGGTTGATGAAGCAGCGCCTGCTGAAGTAAGAGAACATATTCAACAAAAAGAGGCACTGAATTATGTGACATGCTTTCAGCCCACTCATGGACCTACAGTTGGATCAGATGCAATTATAAACATAGCCCCTGCAGAGGGACAAAGGCCCAGCTCTACATATACAGAACCAAACTGGGAATATTTAGCATTTCCTCACCTATTTCCACATGGAAAAAACAATATAAATGTGAAGAGAGTTGTGAAACTTTCAGAAAAAAAGTATGCTAATGTGCGACTACTGTCTACAGATACCAGATTTTCTGAGTGCCCAGAGTATGTTTTTCAAATGCTCGATTTATTAGAAAAACAACAGGTACAAAATTCTATCTCAATCACAACTAGAAAATCATACCACGAGGACATATCAGTTGGGCAGCTGAAGGATCCAACAAGGTTCCATCGACTTTTAACAGATGACCATCTTTATGCCACCTTTAAGACAATCAGAGGAACCCCTCAATACTGGCAACAGATGCAGCTGGATATGCTTGCAAAGTTAAGACAGCTGGGTCCCTACACTTTCTTTTTGACAGGTTCAGCTGCAGAATTCCACTGGCCCGAAGTCATTCAAGTTATTGCTAAAAGGTATGGAACCACATTGACTGTTGATGACATTAACACTATGGACTGGAACACGAAAAGACAGTGGCTTCAGAGAAATCCAGTCATTGCCGCAAGACAAATAGATTATATCTTTGAACAACTTTGGACAAAGGTCATACTCAGTGGTGCCCACCCAATAGGTCAAATACTTAATTACGATTTAAGAAAAGAAATGCAAGGACGTGGAACAGAACATTTCCACAGTGCTATACATGTGAAAGATGCACCTCGTATAGATATCAACACAGATGAGGAATGCATAGCATTTATAGACACACATATAAAATGTCACATTCCTTCAGAAGATGACCCTCTGCATGATCTTGTTATATCAAGGCAAACTCACCACCATACTCGGACGTGTAGGAAAAATAACACTCGATGTAGATTTGGTTACCCAAGATGTCCTACATCAAAAACTGTAATTTCTAGGGTTCCAAATACTGAAAATTCAGCACACTTAATTGAAAATTCTTCAAAAATACAGAGTAAGGTATACACAGCTCTTACATCTGCAGCAGAAAGTAATGTTTCATTTGAGGAAGTGCTTCAGTCAGCTAACATCACGGAAGAAGATTATATCAATGCTCTTAAAATCTCGAAGAAACGTACAACAGTGATAATGAAAAGAAGTATTTCAGAAGTTTATGTTAATAACTACAATCCATACATTCTCCAGGCACTTCGCTCAAATATGGATATTCAATTCATCACAAATGTATGGGCTTGCATTGCCTATTTGACATCCTACATCTGCAAGCCAGAGCGAAGTATGAGTGAAATGATGAGAAAGGCCTGTAAAGAATCAGGAAATAAGTCAATGAGAGATGCTCTTCGTGATATTGGTGATGTATTCAGAAAGTCGCGAGAAGTGTCCGAACATGAGGCAATAGCAAGAATCCTTTCGTTTCCTTTAAGGAAATCAAATACTGAAGTGCTGTTTATTCAAACCGATTTCAAAGAAAATCGCACACGCTTAATTAAACCTCGCTACATATTAGAAAAAATGGAGGATGACGATACTGATTTGTATGTTGCCAGTATTCATGAAAAATATTCAAAACGGCCAGATGACATGGAGAATCTTTGTCTTGCTGAGTTTGGTTCTCATTATGACCTAAGTAAATCTTCCTTGCATGAAGATTACAGTCATGATGAAGAAGTCGCAGACAGTTGCATAAAGAATACAATTTTTCTGAAAGATGGAATGGGTACAATAACGAAGCGAAAAAAGGCACGTTTCATACGATACCATTACGTTTCCAAAGAAAGAGATGAAGAAATGTATTATCATCGCTTGTTGTTGCTGTACATGCCTTGGAGGTCAGAATCACAGTTGAAAAGCTCATCTTACAAAGAGAAATTCCTAGAAGTAAAGTCAGAAATTCTCAGTAATATTACTCTTTATGAACCTTTTTATGAAGAAGTTGAAGCTGCACTTGAAGACTATGATCCAAATGAAGCTTCACCTGAAATCTGGAATGAATTGGCTTCGAGTGTAGAGCAAGAACATTTAGAAGAACTAGAAAAAGATGGTGCTTGCATACACCCATATCTTGACCCAAGTTTTCTCCCTGAAGAGGTATCAGATGATGGTAATTGCCAAGAACCACGACAATACAGCATAGGAAAAATTCAGCTTGTGTCTGATCCTAAGTTTATGAAATGATACTATCATTAAATGAGAAGCAACGTCTCCTCTTTGATTATCTGTATTTTTGGGCAACATGCACAAGGCTTTCTACAGACTCTGATTCAGCACCAAAGCCCTTTTACATATTTCTAAGTGGAGGAGGCGGAGTGGGAAAAACGCATGTTGTTAATGCTATCTATGAGGGTCTCTCAAGAGCACTTAGGCAGCCAGGTCATGATCCAGACAAGCCCACCATATTGATGACTGCATCAACTGGAAAAGCTGCTTCAAACATAAATGGAACAACTCTGCACTCAGCATTTTGTCTCCCAGTCAAAGAAAAATCAAAACTATTTGAATTCAAAAAGTTATCACTAGAGAAGCTGAACTTTCTGAGATCAAAATATATTCACCTAAAGGTTATTATTGCAGATGAGATATCCATGTTTGGAGCAACTTCTTTGGAACACCTTCATCTGACTCTACAAGACATATTCACAGGGCGAGACAGCAACAATCCATTTGGCGGGATATCAGTATTAGCTGTTGGAGACTTGCTACAGTTAAACCCAGTTGGAGATAGGGCAGTATTCAAACCAAGTCCAAATACTGACTACAGTGCACTTGTTGGATCTCTCTGGCAGCAACACTTCAGACTTTATGAACTCACAGAAATTGTACGACAAAAAGGTGATCCTCAGTTTGCTGAGGTTCTGTCAAGAGTAAGAACTGGTGAAACATTTGATGAGGACATACTTATGCTAAAAGATCTTCAAGATACAGATACCTCTGCATTCCCCAAAGATGCAGTACATCTCTATATGACTAACAGCCAGGTCGATGAGTACAACATTCAGAAGCTGCAGGAACTTCCCACACCACATGTAACGGTGAAAGCTAGAGACAGCAAGCATGATTTACACACGAATTTAGAGAAAGTCACAATTAATTCTACCAACTTATATCAGACAGGTGGTCTGCCATCTTCTTTGACATTTGCGAAGGGTGCTCGGTTAATGCTGACCAAGAACTATGATATTGCAGACCACCTTGTAAATGGAGTTATTGGAACACTAGTAGACTACAATATTCCAAGCAACAACAAATTAAATGGACAGTTATACATGAAATTTGAGAAGGATGTCATTGGGAAAAATGCAAGGAAAATTTCACCTCCACAATTGAAGAATACTGTTCCAATTCAAGCAATAAGTGTCCGCTTTCTATTAGCATCTCAGTGCAGTGTACCTGTAGAAAGGAAAATGTACCCAGTGACTCTAGCATATGCCCTGACTGCACATAAATCTCAAGGAAGCACCTATGAATACATGATAGCAGACTTTACGCGATTGACAAAATCACCACCACCGCAAGGTCTAGCTTACACCATGATCAGCAGGGCAACATCAAGACAAGGGATAAAGATTGTGAACTTTAACGAGGGTGATATAAAAGTCAATAAAGATGCATTTGAGGAAATGAATCGAATGAGGAGAGAATCTCAATTATCTTGTTCTATGGCAATGTCTGAAAAGAAACAAGAACAACTTTTAATTGGACATATTAATATCCAAACATTAGCAAAGCATGCTGTGGATTTGCAAAGTGACATTGCCATACAGAAGTTAGATATTCTATGTGTTTCAGAAACTCATATCCGCCAGTTCCAAAACAATTATAATCTTCAGGAACATTCAGCATTTTACAGCATAACAAAGCACGGAATTGCAATTTATGTTTCAAACAAACAAAATGCCTACTACTTTAATGTTCCCTCATCAGATGTGTGCCAAGCCATGGCAGTTCATATCCGATCCCAGTCACTATTGATTGTGGCCCTGTATCGCCCACCAGGACCTGCCATTGATGATTTTTTACAGTGTTTTCAGGCTCTATTGTTGGACATTGATTCAAGAAAAATTTCTTATGTTATTTTAGGAGACTTCAATCTTGATCCAAATAATGCCATCTTTGTCAGCCTTCTATCAAAATTTAATCTTAGTAA